TAATCACGTCGCGGCCTGGGCCGGCTGTGGGCGCCGCTCGCCGCCTCGTTGGAGATGCGATCTACGGCGTCTTGAAGTGTGAGGTATGGCGACGTTTTGGCGGAGAGCGATGCGGATGGGCTGCTATCCCGCCACCGTTCCGCAGCCGGCGCATTTTCCACGTCCAGCCGACTCGGCCTCGTCGAGCTTTCGGGCCTCTGACTGTGCCACGTGCACAGTTGCAGCCCCAGCCGAGTGAGCTCGTGGAGCGGGTTCCTGACGCGATACGTCAGCGCGGACGGCTCATTGGCAGCAGCGGCCGGGCTGATCGTTTTTCAGGCTATTTTCTGAAGTGAGGTCGGTGGGCGGGGCCGCTCCATCACCGCCGGCCGCCCTTCCAAACTCCTGTCCGACCTGTTGTACACACCCGTCTCGCGGCTCAACGCGACAGGCGCCCTTTGCCCACCTGTTCTCCCATCAGCGCGGCCTAAACACACTTAGCCGCGGCGATTCGGCGGGGTCTGCCCTTCGCGCACCCGTGCTCGGAGGCGTGCTAGGTCCGCACGTGACGTCACCATGCGTGCCAGCCTGCCACAGTCCTGCGTTTGGGGCCGACTGGGACCTGTCTGCTCTGGCGCCAGGTCGGTTTGTGAACCTGAGACTCCTCCGTCTGTGCGCGCCACGGCCCGTCTGTACGCTCGGCTGCGGGGTGGGCGTACCTGATGCGATGCTGCGGTGATTGACCTGGCCTTTGGAACTGGCCCCCTACCCCTCTCAGCACAACCTGTTATGCACTATCTACAGCTACAAGCCTATATCTGTTCACACGAAGCAAAAGAGTGTAACTGTCACGTTCGGTTGTAGAATTTCTGATGTATGAATTTGAATAATGTATGCCGTATTGTAATCTTGGCACATATCTTGCTTATAGTTATTCATTTATGCATAGTAATTGTCGAAACGTGCGAAATTTAAGTCAGAAGTGACACTTTGGCGACCTGGAGATGGTAGTTCTGGTCGCTGAGATGAGCTACGACATGACCTTGTACGCGACCTTGCCGGCTGGCTTGCCCAGCCTGTCCCTGGCCAGATCGCGTATGACCTGACCTCGCCCCCGACCTGGGCTGACCCAGGCGGGCGGCGCCAGCGAGCAAACCCGAGGTGACCCGGGCACCGGCCGGCTCCGGTGTCGCCGGGCCGGGTCGGGCCGGCCACTCTGGCACGGGCACCTGGCCGGGCGTATTTTTAGCCGCCCGACCCGGCGGGGCATTCCAGAGACGCGACCCGCTCGTGAATCATGGTGACGGCGGCCGCCGGCTATCATTAGACGGCCGGGGGCGGCGGCGGCGGCGGCGGCGGCGGGGGGGGGGGGGGTCCACGGCACCCCCGCCTGCCACGCCCACCGCCCGGGCACCGGCGGGGGCGGGTCCTCCCGGCGCTCTCTCGGCGCTACCTCCGGGGTGCGCTGCATGGCGGCGGCTGATCCGGACCGGAGCTGGGCTTCTCATAGCCCGGACTTCGTGTGAGGACACACAGGGGCTACTGCTCCGTATGCCCCCCCCCCCCCCCGTCCGGATCGGCTCGGCGCGTGCTCTCGGCTGACCGCTGGCACCGGAAACGAAAGTGTCGGTAATGGGCCGCATCGCCGGACTAAGCAGGGGTGTCGGAATGCGGCGCGAAGAGTCGTCTTTCAGTCGTGCCCGCCACCACCTGGAGGCGCTGTGGCGTTAAATGGTCAGACACGGATGCGATGACGACGCGTCGCTTTGCGATGGAATAATGGTACCTGCGCTCTAACACCCGGCGTGATAAATGCGGTCGCTGTGGCAGATCTTAAACGATCATTACGCGTCGTCAGAGGCTCACTGTCACGCAGGAAACTGGCATAATCGAATAATCCGTTCGGCACGCTGTTTGCGAACGTCGTGTCTGAAACTGCTCCCCACAGCACGACTGTGATTTCATAGCGGACGGGAATCACGACTCGAATAGGACATCGCCTGGTCCGCTCACCCGAAGCATGTACAGCGCGCGCCGCGGCCTACATCGGCATCTCGGTGCGGTTTCGGCGAATGTTTGTACGTGGCAGACCTGTGTTGGCTGTGTCCCGCTCCGCCGTTTTTATCGGACGGTCACGTTATGTCGTGTTGTGTGGGGCCGGACGTGCTGCTCGCCGGCCGCAGTACCGCTGCGGCAACTGCGCGGCGGCGCCGGCGGGCATGCGCTGGTGACCTCACGGCCACCGGGTCACGAGTGGCGCCCAGCCACCGGCGGCACGCGCTGGTGACGCCGCGGCCACCGGGTCACGAGCGGCGCCCGGCCGCCGGCGGCACGCGCTGGTGACCTCACGGCCACCGGGTCACGGGCGGCGCCCGGCCGCCGGCGGGCACGCGCTGGTGACCTCACGGCCACCGGGTCACGAGCGGCGCCCGGCCGCCGGCGGCACGCGCTGGTGACCTCACGGCCACCGGGTCACGAGTGGTGCCCGGCCGTCGGTGCTGGCAGCCGGCGACGCTGACTGGTGCGCTCTCACTTCATGTCGCCCTATGCTGAGAGCGGCGGGAAGCCAACGGACCGGAACTTTGGGATTACCAGGTCGCATGTGTTTGGAAAGAGTCAGGTGGAGCTGTCTTCAGAAATGAGAAGTCTGTATGCGAGTTTCTGAGAGTGGCTATTTACGGGATTCCAAGAGGTTCATTCCATGGGCACCATATGACTGGGCAAGCGAAGCGCCCGAAAGCCCAAATAACTAGCAGAGGTCCACTCCTCAGAGGCCTTTGTATGCGGCCTCTCCCCGTCCAGGGGTCTGGTCCGCTGTCGGGCGTCCTTCGTGTTCAGCGAACGATGATGATGCGATGCGATGGATGCGACACGTGACTGTGTCCGGGTGCAGCCTGGTGTTATCGGGTCCGCTCCGCGGGAGAGGGAGGCCCAGCCTGGAGTTGGCCGGCCTGTCCCACCGTCACCGGCTCCGCGGGCCGCGGCGGCCGCCCGCCGTCCGTCCGTCCATGGCGCTGTTGTGACGGCCCGTCTGCGCATCTGTCGCCAGGAATCGGTGGGTAAACACCGGCGTTTGTCTCCGCCCGGGGCCGCTGTGTCCGCCGCGCTCCGCCCTCCACTCTCACATGGCCCCCTGCCGGCCGGCAGCGCCCGGCGCGCCCGCGGTACCGCGCCGACGCCATCCCCGGTCCGGGCGGGGCCGACTGCTCGGCTCTGCGCGCCGGTCAGCGACCTTGCGCCTCTCGCGCCACTCTCCCAGAGAGCGGCCGGACGGCCGGGCACGCACGCGCGTCACTCGGCGCACCGGACGCTGGGCGGGCCCTGCCGGCGGAGAGCGGGACGGCCGGGCGCGGGCGAGAGCCCGGAGGACGGCAGACGGCGGCGGCGGCGGCGGCGGCCACCGCCCGTCCAGCGCGACAGGGACCGCAGTACGGCGCCGCCGCCGCCTGTGTACAGGCCGTGCCGCGACCCGACTGGATAATGGGCAGATAAGCGCAGCCCGCCGGGACCGGAATGGAGGCCGGGTTCTCCCGGCGCGCCGCGGGTCGACGGCCAGCACCGGCGCGGATGGCGTGGCGGGACGGCGGCCGGCCGGGCCGCGCGTCGGACGCGCCTGAGCGCTGCCGGGGACGGAGCGCTCCCAGAACCGTGGGAGCGTTCCCGGCTCGACCGGGCTGGACCGGACCGGACCTTCCTGAATGGTCCGCCAGGCGCCGGCGCTAACTTTGTGGACCGGAGACAGCACTGAGGCAGAGCGCGATGCGTGGGAGGTGGGCGGGGTAACCTGGGCAGCTGCAGGCATGGGAATGACTGGAGATCGCAGAGAGGAATCAAGCAGCATGCGCCGTGACCTAGCGGCGGCTTCAGGACGCACTTCACGTCTATCTGCCTCTGCTGTGCCAGAGCCGGATGAATGAGGCAACGTGGTGAAGCAGGATGACGGTGCCGGTGGTGCCGCTGAACCCGTTTGACCCCTTTGGTCCACCTGTTGGAGCACCACAGGCGTGTCAGCGAGCTCAGGCTGGCCGGAGTCGTGACGCTGTGGACCGCAGTCGCTGGCGTCGGGCGGATGGGAGGCTTTCGGACATGGTTGCACAGCCTGGTCCAGCAGCGCACAGCGCCGCCCCTTGGCAGCGTCGCGATGACTCGGCCGGATTCCAAGGCCGTGCGGCAGGAGGGCCTCAAAGGCCTTGGAATCTCGCACGTGCGGATGCAGTTCAACAATCGCCATTACCTTAACGCCCTCCATTTCCGCTGTGGTCTGGAAACCCGAGCGGTCCATGCGTCTCCCTATTTAGGTGTCGGCGTGACATTGCAGATGGTTGGGCGGCACACTTGATGGGCTGAACCAACAGACGTTCATGGCAGCCAAACGTCAGGCCTCATGCGACCATGGCTTTGACCTACCCCCATGTATGGCACCCATCCGACGACGGCAGGGCATTCTGATAGCCGTCGGTCGATGGAAAGCTGTTAGGGGATGTCGGGCGACCGCTCTAGGTCTGCCCGGTGGACTTCTCTGCGCTCTGCTGCCCCCACTAGCCTTTGGTGTCCTCAACTAATTTCGGCTCAGCTATGCAGGTCTGACCTGTGCTGGTGATCTGTAACATTGCCCTTTTGAGAGCTCCTGTTGACCTCTGCCCACCTGTGACCTGTGGTCTGCACTTGGCACCGCGGTTTTCAAATATGCTGAGCTGTTTTGGCCATCAGCCGACTTCTGCTGACCTCGTCCCACATCAGCTGACAATCTCAGCCGACTCGCGGCTCCTTCTGCTGACATGTCGAAAGTCCGCCAGCCTTACCTAACTGCTGCCAGCCCTGCTGACCTCGGCTGACCTCGCTAACCTCGCTGACCTCCGCAGACCTCCGCAGACCTTGGCTGACCTCCACTGACCTCCACTGACATCCACTGACATCCACTGACCGCCGAGCTCTGCTGGCCTCCGTTGACTTCCGCTGATCTCCGCTGACCTGTGCTGACCTTTGCTGACCTCGCTGACCCATGGCCTTCCCTCCGGCAGACATTCACCGCCTGGTGCAACTCCCACCTGCGGAAGGCTGGCACCTCGATCGAGAACATCGAGGAAGACTTCCGGAACGGTCTGAAGCTGATGCTGCTGCTCGAGGTCATCTCGGGCGAGACGCTCGCCAAGCCCGACCGCGGCAAGATGCGCTTCCACAAGATCGCCAACGTCAACAAGGCTCTCGACTTCATCGCCAGCAAGGGCGTCAAGCTGGTCTCCATCGGCGCGGAGGGTGAGTGGCAGCGTCCCCCCCCCCCCCCCACCGCAGGCCAGTGCGGAGACCGGTGCCGGGCAGGCGTTGTTTGGACTGCAAATAGCCGTAGTGGCGTCAAGTGGTGTGTTGGCGAAGTCTTGCGGCACATCAGACGAATCAGCGGGGAGCAATGGCTTTCCATTTCGATGTCGAAGGCATGCCTCTATTGCTGTTTCGGTGGACTTCCCGGCCTTATAAGCAGGGGCGTATTGAGGAAATAGTCGGTGGTTTTGAAATAAAAACTCGATTCTTCATGCTAGACCGTTGTTTCAGCACTGAGCAGCTCGTTAAGTTCGTGTCCGCAACAGTTATAGCTGCGTCCAGTTTGACCGAGTAGGAGCGCTGTCGTTCATCGCGGGCCGGGCGGGCCGTGTCACTCCGCTGTTGGCCAGCTCTGGCAGGCATGGTTCACGTTTGGTGCCAGTGCTGCAATCGACACTTCGGTGCAATTTTCACGACCTTCACTATTGATGCGTCATTGTCGTCTTTCCTATCATCAGTGCATCCTGCTCCCACGTGAATCCGGGCCCTCCGTCTCGTCCAAGCTGTCCCAACGCTCACATTCATCTCCGCTCTTGTGCGCTCGCGTGACGTCATTGGGCTCATCGCAGTGCGGTCAGTCACCGTGCCGCAGTCCTCCCCGTCATAACACCACCGCCGCACCCCTCTCCTTGGGATCCGGTCCGCGGGGCAGCCGGGAGCCCAAGCTCGGCACCTAACGGCACCTCCGCCGCCGCCGCTGGGGCCGCCGGCTCCAGCGGCGGGTGACGGCCGCGCGGCCTGTCGTCTGGGCGAGCTGCCGCCGGCGCCCTCGCCGCCGCTGGGGCCGGTGCCCCGTGCCGGCCGTGTGTTCTGTCCCCTAGGCGAGCTGCGGCCGCCGCCTCCGCCGCCGCTGGGGCCGCCGGCTCCAGCGGCGGGTGACGGCCGCGCGGCCTGCCCTCTGGGCCAGCTGCCGCCGGTGCCGCAGCTGTGCCAGTATGCGGGGGCGCGCGGCTCGTGCACGTGCTGCGTGTGCCGCCCACCCGCCCGCGCCTGGGCCCCGGCGCATTTCACAACCTGGTGGGCCAGACGCAGAGTTAGGGGCACGGCAGGTGTAGCGCGTTGAAGGCAGGCGAATTATTGATCCGGACAGAAATACAAGGGCGAGCGTGAGCGGATTCGGGGTTGGACCGTTTTAATGACTGCGATGTGCCACGATTTTCCACGCTTCCCTCCCTCGCCGGCCTTGTTCAGCGTTTCTTTGTTCCGTCAAATCTAACCTTGGGTCTGACTTGCTTACCAGTTGATAGGGTCTCCCTCGCCCCCCCCCCCCCCCCCCCCCCCCCGTGCCACTCGTTTACACGGCTGAAGTCCAACCGCTGTCCGTTCGCCAATCACGGCGATAGGTCATTATCTGCAACACATCGCCTGCAGACCGAATCCACAAGCGCGGCGAGGACCGCTCCTACATGCGGCTCGGCCACGTGCCGCGTGTTTGAGGCCCGGCGCCCCGCGATAGGTCCGCCTGCCATATGGCCGGTCGAGCCCTGTCCACTGATACGATGCGACGAGGGCTCGCGCAGCCGATAGCCGACCCGGCTGACGGTGACCGACCGCTGCCGGCCGACCCGGCTGATGGTGACCGACCGCTGCTGGCCGGGCCCGGCTGATGGTGACCGACCGCTGCTGGCCGGGCCCGGCTGATGGTGACCGACCGCTGCCGGCCGGGCCCGGCTGATGGTGACCGACCGCTGCTGGCCGGGCCCGGCCGATGGTGACCGACCGCTGCCGGCCGGGCCCGGCTGATGGTGACCGACCGCTGCCGGCCGGGTCCGGCTGATGGTGACCGACTGCTGCCGGCCGGGCGCCGTCCGCCAGTCTCGGCGTGAGCGCGGCCGGGAGGCCCAGCCCGGCACCGGGACACCCCGACCCTGGCTGGGATCGGTGGGACCGCACGGTGGAGGGCTGACCTTGTCTCGGTGAGCGGCCGGGCGGGCGGTGTTCGGTTTGCTGGGTGGTCAAGTTTGACTCAGCGCTCTGGGGATACCCTGCACTCAAGCCTTTGCATAAGCAGAGGCCTGGTGTGTCTCAAGAACCTGCTGGAGCCCGGGCGGCACGTTATTGTTGGATGTTGCGTCCGTCTGCATATGCATATCGGACATGTGTTTCTGGCGACCTCAACGTGGTCACACATGTGACCTTGGAGACTCAGTTCACAGCCTAACTTCTTAGTCTCGAACGTATGCAGGGAAGGATCAGCAAGCTCCGCGCTTGTCATAAGTGAACGTATTCTCTTCTCCGCTAGGGCTGACAGTCCGAATAGCAGCTGTGTGCGTTTTTCGCCATTCATCTGGCGTTGCGTGGGACCCGCGATTTCGTTTTCTGGCGGCACTGAGGGGAATCAGCTCACCGTCGCCACGGGCTGGGTTTCCCTGGCTGGACCGTGCGCTGTGACCGTCTGCTGCGCCGTTTTGTTCTGACGATGCCCCGCCGGCTGCTCTCCCGCGCCGTACACGCCGCGGTACACTGCTCACTGTCCGGCCAGTCTCTTCTGAGTACATCACTCGCTCGTAGCTGCTGCGTAGATGTTGCACGCCCATGGCGATTATGGTCGCAGCTGTCCTGTACGCCCCTGCTTTTTTGCGATGCATCGTTCACGACCTGCTTTTTATGCGAGTAGCGATGGCTTCTACGTGTGAGTTTTGTCCATCCGTGTCCACTTGTCCCCGCGCTTTCCACGATTAGCTCCACATTAGATTCGGGGTCTTCCGTCCTGGTCTGGTGCAGCACCACTGTAAAGGAAATATCCGCCGCCATGAATTGCTCTGGTTCTGCCCACGCCAAGTGCTTACGTTCTTGCGCGGGTAAATAGAGTTATCGCAGCGTTCATCTTGTCTTTCACACAAAATCGCTCTCGAAGGAATTCAGTATAAAGGAAGGAGGAAGCCGTGCGAATGGTCTTGAGAATGCGTCATCTGGAATGCTATGCTATGTCTGTTAATCATTGGTAGGACATGTGCGCCCCCGTCCATTGTCACCTGTCTAATTTGCTGAATCACGGGGCGGGATAAGCATGCTTGCTTGCTGTTTCAATCAGGAGCGGTTATGTTGCACGGCTGGGCCGTGTTATTTTGATCCCCGTCCGCTCCTCCCGTCTGCCGTGTTTATATAACGTCCGCTGGGCGTCGCTGGCGACTAGCACGGCACGACACGCTAGTGGCCGACAGCGCCCGGTCGCCAGCAGACCGGTGCGCGATGCGGCCTCTCGGATGCTGCGAGCAGCCGCAGCGCCGCCGCAGTGGCTGCTATCGGAGCCTGGCATGCTTCCGGCCTGGGGCGGTGGCGGTGCGCCGCCCGCTCCTGCGTCGCCGACCCGGCCCGGGGGCCCGGGGCTGCGGCCGGCTGCAGAGGCGCCCGCCCTGCACCGCCTGCACCCGGCTGTCCAAACAGGGGCGCGCCGGACGGGCAGGCGGCGCCGCCCGGAGCGGCGGGCCGGGGCCTCGCGGCAGCCGCGGGGCGGCCCGCGCCAGCCGGCCCGCGCCGCCCGGATGTGTGGAGAGACGCGGGCGCCGCGCGGCGTCGCGGTCGGGGTCAGGGCTCGCCGTATCGCAGTGACGTCAGCGGTGACCTGGCGCGGGGCAAACACCAGCGAACACCCCGTGTCCAAACATGCCACGTCAGGTCGTCCGCCTCAGAGCCACATTTGGAGGGTTTGAACCTGCACAGCAGGCCGCATTGGCGGGAGCACAGTGGCTCTCAGAGCTCCGCGTGCCAGCGCCGGACAGTGCGTCAACACAGCAGCGGCTCAGAGCTCGGGAGCGCGCGGCATCAGCGGCGACTGCGGGCGCCGTCCCGCGCCAGAGGCACCCAGGCAGCGACAGCACGCTGCGGGACCCTGCCGGCCGCGCTGTGAGGGTCAGGTGCACGGCCCGGGGCGAGCGGGCGGCGCCGCTGCCGACACTTGTGTGGCGCCGCTTCCGGCCCTGGTGTGGCGCCACTTCGGGGCTCGTGTGGCGCCGCTTCCGGGCCCTGTGTGGCGCCGCTGCCGGCCGGTGTGTGACACTGCGGCGCACACGCCCGTGCGTCACTGACAGTGTGCACGGCGCAAGACTTGAGCTCCACCCACGCTCCCGGCCCCTTGCAAACGTGGGTCGCTTGCCGATACAGACGCGCATAGCCGATGTCCGCCTCCAGACGAGTTTTCAACAGTGAAAAAGCAGCGTTACGCTGCTGCATTGGCCGCGGGACGCGCATCGTGTAACGCTGGACGGCGGACGGCCTGGCGTTGGCTGATCGCTCTGACTCCGGCCGCCGAGAGCGGTCCGGCTGGCGAGACTCGCCGGCTCGCGGCGAGCGGCGCCGGGGCGCCGGAGCCGGCCAGCGGCGTGGCCGCGGCCCATGCCGTCTCGGTCCACTGGTCGCTTCGAGCCGGGGCGACGCGACGCGCCGGTCCAGGCCACGAGCGATCGGCAGCCGGCGCCGGCACCGTGCGCCGTCAGCCGTCAGCCGTCAGCTGTGAGGCCGAGAGAGGCGCCCCCTCGCGTGCTGGACGGGATCTCGTGGCGGCCTCTTCCCGCTTCCGGTGCGGGGCCGCCTGCTTAGGCTGCGGCCATGCATACCGCCTGTACATGGAGGCGCCATGGACCTGTTGGGGGCAGCTGGGCTCATGACCGGGCTGCGCCGAACGAGCTGCCGCGTCAGCTGTCACTGCAGCCGTGGTACCGTTTGGGCTGTAACGGCGGCCGGCCGGCCAGCCGGGGGTGGCGCCCGGGAAGCCGGGCCGACCCGCTGGGGGGCCGCTGGGAGGCCGCCGTCGACACGCTCGGCCGGCCGGTGCAGGTGACGCCGACGGCCGGCGCCGGCTGGACGTCCAGCGGCGACCAGTCCGGACACTCCGACATCCCGGACACTGCAACACTCCGACAGATCAGGCACTCCGGACATCGACCGCTGCGACACTACCCGCTGATCGTACGACCGCGCTTTGCTGGCGACACCTTGCTCTCCGATTCTGGCCACTTCGAACACTCCTGTCGCTCTGATGTTGTGTGGCTCCCTGGGTAGGAGGCTGTCGGTTTGGCGTCGCCATAATGAGATCACGCGCGAAGGGGTGGGCCTATTGCTGGCCAAGGGAAAGTCCACGGAGTGGGTTTCGTGCATCAGCAACGAGCCTGTACATGCTCTGCTACTGGAATGGTATGTTACCCGAGTGGCACGTTTTCCTCCATGACAGCGAAATCGCAGGTAGCGTGCATGGGAGAGCCGAGAAGAGTATGATTTTGCTCACAGCCGAGGATAGAGATGGCTGGCATTGCAAGACGTGATGCCGAGGAGCCTTTCTAGCGGCGACACCGCCATGGTTTGTCTGATCTTATGAGCCGCAGCGAAACTCCTGGCTGAGAGCCGGTCCGGGAGCCGGGAGCCGGGAGCCGGGAACCGGGAGCCGGGAGCCGGGAGCTGGGCCGGGAGCCGGGGGCCGGGCCGGGAGCCGGGGGCCGGGATCCAGGCCGGGAGCCGCGCCGGGAGCCGGGGGCCTGGCCGGGAGCCGGGAGCCGGGAGCCGGGAGCCAGGCCGGGAGCCGCGCCGGGAGTTGGGAGCCGGGAGCTGGTCCGGGAGCCGAGAGCCGGGCCGGGAGCCAGGCCGGGAGCCGGGAATCACCAGTAAAAATGGCGACAAACGCGATACCATCCGCAGAGGAAAGCGTCCACGTCCGCCAGGTTAAGCTCGGCGCCGTCATGCAGGAGCTTTTCCCGGAACGGCGCTGCGACGCAGCTCGCTGCGCGCCAGACTGCAGGAAAAACGGCACTTTCTGGGAGCGAGGAGATCGTGTCGGGGTTGGTATTTCCAAGCACTGCACGCACGGACGCATTTCGCCTGTGCTCAGCTGCCAGCTCGGAACGGCGACATCAATTGTTGGTTAATTCCGTATGCTCGTCTCCGAGCGGTGTGGCGCGGGACGTGGCCACCTGGCTGGGTGTGGTGTCGCCGGAGGCGTCGCGGCCCGCCGACTTACTCGCGCGCTGCTCTGGCATCGGCGCTAGATGTCGTTAGAGAAATTCCAGAGCGTGTTTGTGTGCCTTTCTGTCCGTCGCCTCGTATTAAGATCATCGGTGCCGGTTTTTTTTAAAGCCGACACTAACGACGGGTCGTGATCGATGCGTCGTGAGAGCGCAAACACGCCGCGAGATCTGGCAGCGCCCCGTGCTCGCATTTGGCAGCTCGCTGTAAGGCGTGACGGCTTGGGCCCGTCTCGAGTGTCGGGCCGGCGCCGGGTCGAGCGAATCTGTCGCTCGGTCGGGCTGACCGGCGGCCGGCTCGGGCCCGTCCCGAGTGTCGGGCCGGCGGGAGACCGAACTCTGTCGCTCGGGGCTGACCGGCGGCCGGCTCGGGCCCGTCCCGAGTGTCGGGCCGGCGCCGGGCCCCGAACTCTGTCGCTCGGCCGGGCTGACCGGCGGCCGGCGCGGGCCCGTCCCGAGTGTCGGGCCGGCGCTGAGACCGAGCTCTGTCGCTCGGTCGGGCTGACCGGCGGCCGGCGCGGGCCCGTCCCGAGTGTCGGGCCGGCGCCGGGCCCGAACTCTGTCGCTCGGCCGGGCTGACCAGCGGCCGGCTCGGGCCCGTCCCGAGTGTCGGGCCGGCGCCGGGCCCGAACTCTTTCGCTCGGTCGAGCTGGCCGGCGGCCGGCGCGGGTGGTCGTCGGCCCATTCTCAGCTGATGCCTCCGTCGGCGGCGGCGGCAGACCATCTGTCGCCTGCCGCCGGCAGCGGGGTGAATCCTGACGACCTGGGTACAGGCGCCCGCTTCGACCAGCGCCGGTGCCCGACTTTTGGGAATATTTTTAGCGGCTGGACGGCGCCGCCAGCCCATGACGTCACGCTGGCTCAGTCGCCGAGACTACGGAAGGCGGTGTGTTTACAGGGGAGGCTAAACGGGCCGCTTTAATGGGATCGTCAGTCGTCGGCAGCCGCGGTGGAACATCTGGAGCATTGTGAACGCTATTCTCCTGGTCCTCCGGGATCTTCCGGGGTCGCCCGTTTGTACCTTACCCCACGAACCGCCGTTACCACCAGTATGACGTGCTGCAACTGAGCGCACGAATACGTGGCGAAGGGATGACCAGACATACTTTTAATACTGCATGCGGGGGCGGGCAAATTTGATGGCCCCGAGCCCCTCCAGTGTTCCTGAACTTTTTCTTCTCGTCCATGGGCGCCATGTGGAACGAATTGGCTTAAAATCCCGTTGTTTCCCGCAATAGTTTTGGGAAAACGTTCTTCATTGAGAGCGAGGGCGGAACTTGATGCGCATGTGTGGGGGGGGGGGGGGGACCAGAGTCCCACTCAGCATCCCGCGGCCTTGACGCCAGTCCTGGACCTTGAGTGAAAAAGATGACTCGAAATTTTAATGTGCCTCCCCCAATTATACTGACATGTTCCACATGTGACCACTTTATTACCAATCACTATTGCTTTTTGACTGGCCTGTTGTCGACGATGTCCTGGATTACTGGTATTACTACCGGATCCCACGGTTTTACCCCCACGGAATGGCAAGTCGTAAACTCGATTGGCCTTTTGATGCCTGTCTGTGGAGGCCGACGGGCCAGTTCGGTCCCGGATGCCGACGGGCCAGTTCGATCCCGGATGCCGACGAGTCATTCCCGGGGCTCACATGTGGGTTAGGCCTTGTTTAAGGCGTCCCTCACATAGCCTGAACGGTGCCGTTGGGCGGTTTCGGAGCTGCCGCATAGGAGGCCGCTGCTTTGGGAGCCCGCTGTTGGCTAGTCCGTAGGCGCAGCGCCATGGCGCCGTGGAGTATGTTGCATCGCTGATTGAAGCGATTCCTAAATTGCTTTTTTGCCCCGTAGATAACGTTTCAATGACACTTATTTCCTAAGTTGAGCCTCGAAGCTTCTTTTTCTGTGAGCTGATTTGCATACCAGACCGGTTCCAACCTTTCTCTGCTCTGAAAGACAGCCGGCTGCCACGTTGCCATAGAAGGGTCGACAAACCAGTAAGCCGCGTTTGAACCGTGAACGGTGCTGCGTCAGACGGTGCTCGTCTCGTGTTGCTGTGATGCTGGTTACCGACGACAGTACACCGTTAGGAACCGAGTCATCCAGCCTTGTGATTGTGCAAATTTCACGTTTCTTGTATGAATGGAGTAAGAACGGCTACGTCTTGCTGCTATTGCCAGGTTGCGGGAAAACGACACCTTACAGAACGTTCGCATCCAAGTACGTTGGTACTGATATGGCATACATCCTACATCATTGCTCTTAATGTCGCTGACAGGGCTTAGAGCTGGAGTTCGCTGCTACAAAATATCAAGCTCAAATAAACCGTGACGACTGGCCGACACTGGACTAGGATGTCCGGGCTGTTGGACCTGAAACGGTTGCTAGTGTTCCGAGTGAGAGGGACTCGGCGTGTGATGGCTGGTGATGGTGCCTTACTATTGCCGGCCGGCCGGTCTGGTGCCGTCCGAGCGGGAGAGGCGCGCCCCGCCGCCCCGCTGCGGAGCGGCCGACGCTGCCCCATGTCGCCGCTGCGTCCCGGTGCGGCCAGGGCGGGGCGGCCGCCACAAAAACGGCCGGCCGCGGCCGCGACCGGGCCTTTTTGTTGGTGACCTCAGGTGCCGATTTCTCCGGCGGAGGCGGCCGGCGGCGCGGGCCACCGCACGGCTGCCGGCTGGCCGCTCGTGCAAGCACCGCTGGCCCCCACCCCGTTCTGCAGCCCGCCGGTAGCGTAAATAAACACGGCGGCCGGTGGAGGGCTGCGGTCGCGCCGTGCCCCGTCCGCGGCCGAGTGTGCCGGCACCGGCCCGTGCTGAGCCGGTCACCGCCGCTGGCTGGGACGGCCGACCTCCGGTACCGTGTGCGTTGACGTGCTGTCTGCCTCTGTGGTCGAGTCGGGACAGACCCGGTGACCTGGCCCCGGTCCATGTCGCGACCTTGCGCGACACGCGGCCCACTCGCACCATCGGCTGCGACACGGTGCCGGCGGCGTCCTCCGGCGCGCCGTTTTTGCGCCGAGGCGACCTTAGATGGCGCGCCCAGACCGCCTGACCTCGCCCCAGTGCCGGCTGGCGGTGCATTGTCGTGCGCTGACACGGCGCTTAACGAGATACGGCGGCGTTCGCCGGCGAGCGAACGGCGGTCGCCATGCCCCGCGAACGAACCGGAATGCGAGTCAGAGCGTTGGCAGGCCGCGAGGTCGCGATTGTTTTTGTGGTGTGCCGTGGTAGCTGTTCCCGCTGTCGCAGTTGGTCATGGTAGGCTCGGAGCCGGTTTCTGGGCCGCGGGACGGGCGGATTTGGCCCACGCAACAGACAGCGTTTAGGCGTGAACGTCAGCGCCGCTCACAACCTCGGCGCCGTAAAAAGCGGTCTGAAAGTGAGCCGCTACGTGCGCCAGTATATAGATCAGCGGCAGCAGTGAGCCGCGTAGTTCTCCGCGCCTGGATGAGACCCAGCGCCGCCGGCAGTCCGACGCTTGGACGTGGTCGGTGCTCTCCGTGGTCGGGGTGGAACGGCGGCACCGCGTCACCGGCCAGTGCTGACACTAAGCATTTGCGACGCGTTCCGTGGATGATGCTCCGATCATGCTCGAATGGGAGCGCCGTGTATGTAGCTGATACCGTCATTGGCGTCGCGTTATCGGACGCCGCCCGCAGCGATGCAGCCTGTGCAGAGCCCACACAGAAGCCGCAGCCTGTGCCGTGAGTCCGACGCCTACCGCCTCAGGCCCGCGCATGTAACTGTAAAGAAGCCGACACATTTGAAGCCCACGGTCACACACAGTCACAGCCCACAGTCACACACAGTCACAGCCCACAGTCACACACAGTCACAGCTCACAGTCCCAAAGCCACAGGTGTCGGTTGGCCGGATTTGAGATCCAGTGTGCTTGTGGCGTGGGCCGTTTTGACCCCGTGACGCCACTGACGGGCCGTCCCCGCCGGCAGAGATCGTCGATGGTAACCTGAAGATGACGCTGGGCATGATCTGGACCATCATCCTGCGCTTCGCCATCCAGGACATCTCGGTGGAGGAGATGACGGCCAAGGAGGGCCTGCTGCTCTGGTGCCAGCGCAAGACGGCGCCCTACAAGAACGTCAACGTGCAGAACTTCCACACGAGCTTCAAGGACGGCCTGGCGTTCTGCGCCCTCATCCACCGGCACCGGCCCGACCTCATCGACTACGACAAACTCTCCAAGGTCGGGCGCCGACGCGGGCCACCCGGCCGGACCCGGCGCGCTCGAGAAATCTGACGGTGGCCGCGGCGGCAGGTTTTTGTTTCGCCCGCCGCAGCTTTTTACGTTTGTCAATGTTTGCTGGTAGGTTGGCGGCTTCGTGCAATCTGTGGCGAGGTGTAGTAATTGCGTTGTGTAGGTGGAGAATGAACGAGATAATTATGTACGACGCAACATCTGCACGTGGTCAGACGGCTTGCTTTTGCCGCGTGAAGGGAGCCCCTGGTGCAAACTTGCCAGACGCTTTTGAGAATGTAACATCGCTTACGAAGGCGGTCACGAACTGTAACAGTCAAGTAGCGATGTTGCGTGTCCCTTGTTCAAACACCGCCTTGCGGCGTTCGGGTGAACTAATGATCCCTGTCCGCATGGCTTGTGCTTGCCTTGAAGGTAACCAAATGTTCCCTTTCAGGACAACCCGATGGAGAATCTGATGACCGCCTTCGACGTGGCCGAAAAGCACCTCGACATCCCGAAGATGTTGGACCCCGAAGGTAATCATCCGCTCTAACTCGGGGCTGGCCGAACGAGTCGCGCATTTGGTGGGCCGTGGCTGCCTGCGTGGGCGTATGGGGCAGCACTCTGCGGCGGGAGAGAGGGTTGGAAGTCACGTGAGCTGGGGTGATGCCGCCGGGACGCACCGGTGTTGGCTCGGGGCTCCATGCACCCCTGCGGTTGCCGCCCGGCGACCCGGCACCCGCCCCTCCCTCCGCTGATTGTCTGGCTGGCTGGCTGGCGGGGATCCGCGCCTGGCAGCGGGCTCGGCTGACACTCGACCTTGTGGGACGCGCGTCTGACGATCTGACCAGGTGGGGCCCGTTTGACGCCTCGAAACGGCGTCGTTTGACCGTCTAGCGGTGCCCGGTGCCTGATGGTGAGCGTCGATTGGCACTCCCTAGAGGTGCCATCTCTCGTTCTCACGGTGGCGGCGTTTGACACCGACGCTGCTACACTCGTTTCACGGTCTCCGACGGTGGCGGGCCCTGTTAGGCGGCCTGACGCTTGAGGCGCTCGTTACGCGCACTCGACGAGAGCGGCGCTTGTTCGACGCCGCTCGTGACAGACGCTCCTTTGACGCCCTGACGCCGACATTTGGGTCACACGCCTCGCTTTCTGGCGTTGGCGGGGCGCTCGTGTTACACGCTGTGACGGTGTCGGGCGCTCGGCAGACCTGATCAACACGCCCAAACCCGACGAGCGTGCCATCATGACCTACGTCTCCTGCTACTATCACGCCTTCCAGGGCGCCCAGCAGGTACGCCATCTCGGGACCGCGTGCACAACTAATACTTCATGTGGCCGCCCCCGAATGCCCCTTGCTTGGGCACGCCTCTCGTCCCGCGTTTAGCGCTGGCTAACCCCCCGTTTCCACTGACCGAGTCCACAGGAGCGGCACGCTGGCGAAACCTCCGCAGTCCGGCTGCTCAGCCCGCCTGGTTTCCGTAGTGGACCCGGCTGGTCCCCCGTATTTTTTTGTTTTTTGTTGTGCGCCGCCGCCGGCGGTGGCGTGTGCCCGTGGCGCCGCCGGTGTTTTTTCTTGGTAGTGCGGCTGGCGGTTTGCGAGCATGGTGTGCCGTGCTGTCTGCCTGCCGGCGGGCCGGATGCGCCCCGTCGCCCGTGAGTCCGTGCGGCCCACTAACCCGTCCCGGCGCCGGCGCCTGTTGCAGATATCCATAACGAGCCGGTGCCAGACGAGCGCGCCGTAATGACGTATGTCTCGTCTTACTACCACCGGTTCGCCGGCGCGCAGAAGGTAAACGGCGCCCCTGCGGCGTGGGCCGCCCCTCGGCGACGGCGCCGGCGCGGGCGCGTCGCGGCACCTCCGCAGCGGGCGCCGCCAGCGCCCGGCCGTGGACTGACTCACGTCCGCCCGCGAACAATGTCGGCGCTGCTCTGGCACTGTCCGTTGTGTCAGAGCCCAGGCCTCCGGCGGCGCCAGCGTGTCGCGCGGTGCAGATGTTGCCGGTCGGAGACAGGGCGCGAATCGGTTGCGTCGCAAGCGCGGGGGCGCGGGGACTGGCGCCCGGCACGCCTCCGTTGGTCGCGATTGGGGAGATGAGGCGATGCTCCGATGGAGATAGACGTGGATGATGCCGAGGTGCGGGCGAGGCGCCGACTGACTGGATATGCGCCGTCGAGTACGGCTTGTTTTCGATGTCGCGTTCAGCTTCTTCAGCCGCGTGGTTTGTGCAGTCCCCCGCTCCGCAGCGAGAGGGGCTACCGGGGAGAAGACGCGAGCCGCATGACGAGGCCCACGGACGGCCCGTAGACGGCCCGCGAACCGCTCCCAGCCCTCCACTCCCGTCTAACTACGCGCGTGTCCGCGACAGGCTGAAACGGCGTCCAACCGCATCTGCAAGGTGCTGAAGGTGAATCAGGACAACGAACGACTGATGGAGGAGTACGAACGACTGGCCACCGATGTGAGTACTGAGGGTGCCGTCTGTGGCGCGCTGGCTAGCGCTGGCAGGCCGGCTCCAGCGAAAACCAGCGCTGCCCGACCGGCTGCGGCAAACACTTCTTGTCTGTTGGAGTAGGGGGATAGTGGATTGGGATGGCGCCCCAGTGAAGCCCCAGCCGGTGCTCTGGGCGTTGGTCTGCCATCGCGTTAACTGGCACATTACCTCACGTTTCGGCTGTATCGTGCGTGGCGGATGCCGCGTGAGCAAACAACTCGAGTTTGACCATTGATATGTTGGGATTGCTCCAGCGCATTCTGCCCGCAGTCCCTGCCAATCGGTCTGTGTTAACGTCCGTCGGGTTCTTTCAGCATTCCGCCTCCGAAGCGTCAGCGAGCGGCTGGGCGAGCGAACGTACGCCTGAGTGAACACACTCGGAGTACCACGCTCAGCAGGAGAGGGTCGTTGCATAATCGTCACTGGCGCGTCTGTCCCCAGCTGCTGGAGTGGATCCGACGGACGCTGCCCTGGCTGGAGTCGCGGCAGACGGACAACTCGCTGGCCGGCGTGCAGAAGAAGCTGGACGAGTACCGCAACTACCGGCGCAAGCACAAGCCGCCGCGCGTCGAGCAGAAGGCCAAGCTGGAGACCAACTTCAACACGCTGCAGACGAAGCTGCGCCTCTCCAACCGGCCGGCCTACCTGCCCACCGAGGGCAAAACTGTGGGGGTCAGTGTCCGATGTGGGCCTTCGCGGAACTCGACTCAGTGTGGTGACGTATGTTTTGTGTAACACGTTTGTGCTGTGGAAGTCTGTTAGCGACGACCTCCAGTTACCTGCCAGTTGGATACTGCTGCACCAGTGACTTCGTCAGATGTCGTGAATGGCCATCGTGTCAGGATACAGGGCCCGCCCCCAGACGCTTCTCCAGTACATTGACAAGGTAGTCTCGCCGTGCACCACCGATGCCCGCCTGTGCATCCATCCCGGCAGCGGTGTGCGCCTGCTGGACCGGCGACGGCCGTCGCCACGTGCCTCAGCCCCGTCCCTCGTCCCCCACCCCGCCTGGCCGTCTGACCCGTGCCGTCTCGCTGGCGGCAGGACGTGGCGGCGGCGTGGAAGCGCCTCGAGGGCTCCGAGAAGACCTTCGAGGAGTGGCTGCTGACTGAGGTCATGAGGTAAACAGCTGAGCTGACCCGTGTGTCCGCCCTCAGCCGCTGCCCTCACTCCTCCTCGCTGCTGTTGTGGTGGAGAGCACGAGGTGGAGCGTGGTCCTTGCGCTGGCCAGATCGGACCATCGCTCTGGTGCGATCTATCGCGTCCCTGCTCGGAGGACGTCTCATGGCGACTTCACCATGCGCCCTCCTGATTGACATAGCTTGTCAGGCTCACACCATACGGGCTGTATCGATTCATTTCCTTTTGGGACATTGTTCCACGTCACAGACCCCTTATTGACATGGGAATGTTTACCTCGTGAAGTGGCAGTTGAATTTTAGTGAGGCGTCGATCAGCACGGCATCTGAAAAAGTTAAGGTCTACCTTTCACCGACCTTGTTGTGGCATATTCTACCATTTCCTCTGTGCTTTGTCAGCTTGATGGCTGGCTCTCCCGCTTTCTGTTCTCTGAGGCGTCCGTGTCCGGCCATCGGCCGCCCCGTCCTGACCCCCTGCCCGTGCTCGGTCTCCCGACATCGGCCGCCCCCGTCCTGACGTCCCGTCCGTGCTCGGTCTCCCGACATCGGCCGCCCCGTCCTGACCCCTTGTCCGTGCTCGGTCTCCCGACATCGGCCCCCGTCCGACCCCCTGTCCGCACGGTCTCCTGACATCGGCCCGCCCCCGTCTGACCCCCTGCCGTGACGGTCTCCTGACATCGGCCGCCCCCGTCCTGACCCCCTGCCCGTGCTCGTATTCCCCGAAACCGGCAGCCCCGTCCTGACACCCCTGTCCGTGCTCGGTCTCCCGACATCGGCCGCACCCCGTCCGACCCATGCGTGACGGTCGCTCGAATCGGCCACCCCCGTCCTGACCACCTGTCCGTGCCCGGTCTCCGACATCGGCCGCCCCAGTCCTGACACCTGTCCGAGGTCGTCCGACATCGGCCGGCCCCGTCCTGACCCCCTGTCCGCGCTCGGTCTCCCGACAGGGTCGCCCCCGTCCTGACCCCTGTCCGTAGAGCCCGACATCGGTCGCCCCCGTCCTGACCCCCTGTCCGTGCCGGTTCTCCCGACATCGGCCGACCCCGTCCTGACCCCTGTCCGTGCCGGTCGTCCGAAACATCGGCCGGCCCCGTCCTGAACCCCCTGTCCGTGCTCGGTTCCCGACATCGACCCGCCCGTCCTGACCCCTGTCCGTGCCGGTCGTCCGACATCGGCCGGCCCCGTCCTGACCCCCTGTCCGTGCTCGGTCTCCCGACATCGGCCGCCCCCGTCCTGACCCCCTGTCCATGCTCGGTCTCCCGACATCGGCCGCCCCCGTCCTGACCCCCTGTCCGTGCCCGGTCTCCCGACATCGGCCGCCCCCGTCCTGACCCGCCATCCTTGCTCGGTCTCCCGGCAGGCTGCAGGAGATTGACCTTCGCAGTGACCCGGCGCTCCATGGCAGGTACCTGTCCTCATCCCGCTCCCACCGCCGTCTCGGTCCGGCCTGACGGCCCCTCCCAGCCCGTCCGAACCGCTCCTAGCATGCACGCCATTGCGCTGTCCTGCCCACCGGGCGCCGCCGCACGCTCGGGGGCACCGGCGCTCTGTTCGGGAATGGTGCCTGTTGCCACCCATCAGGGCCGTGCCCCGCGGTCGGAATTTGTTTGTCTCAGTTTTTTGGACCGCGAAATTTTTCGTTTGACTTAAACCTTGCGCGGAAATTTGAAAGTAGCGTCAAGTGTTGTAATGATAGAGTACCAATAGGTCGGGGGTATCTGGCTGAGAGGAAAGGTATGGATCTCATCGCTTGCTCTGAGCGCGTACAGGCTGATGTGATGACTCGATGCGCTGGCAGCCTGCCAAGAGCGCTCGGTTGGCCAGTCAGTACGCCATCTGTGCTGTCGGTGCCGTCGGCAGCAGCGGCTCCACGTCAGCCCAGCTGGCAGTAGCGTGGTGCTGGCCGGCGGGCCTCTGTGGCGGCTTGGTCGATGGTGTGGGCGGGGAGGGGAGGAGCTCTGAAGAGCCTCGCGGTGGCGAGTGTGTGTTGGCCCGCCCGGGCTCGCCGGCGCTGCAGTCGCCCGGGGTGGTGTCTGGGGTTCGCTGCTGTGACCCTCACGTTTTTGTCGGGCGGCGTGGCCCGCCGGGACCGGCGCGCAGCCCGGTGGCCCAGTGCCAGCGCTGGGCGGTGGAGGGGCGCGCCGCGGTCCGCTCTAGGCAACCATGAGTCGTGGTCGGGGCCGTAAGCGATACCAGAGCAGGTCAGAAAGGCAGTGTGCATTTCATGTAATTATGGCTTGGCTAGCGCTGTCTCAAATGTAGGAATGGGGCAGTATTAAGCTGATGCGTGTGCGTGTCGCTATAGGCATCACTCCGCGTGTTGTGGGAATATTTTTCGCGGCTGCGTGCGGGCGAGCAATCCTGGATTTTTGTGATAACGGCCTTTGGATAGCTGCGGTATTTTGTGGAAGATTTTCTTTAAGGAAGCGTTCGTTTAATACTTAATGGCGGTAAATGGCGGTCGTGGTCATGTTATGTGCTTAAGGCCTTCCGAATGTTTTCCGTGCGCCGGTCTTCTGAATGCGTTTGTTCTGATTACTTCAATGCAGGGCATTTCGACCGACCTGACCGGCTCAGTGACTGATTTGGCATTGACAACGCTCTCGCGATGTGTTTGCCAGGCTGGAGAGAATAGACCATCTGGCCAAGAAGTTCAACCATAAGGCGGACATCCACGAGGAATGGACGCGCGGAAAGGAGGAGATGCTGCAGAGCCAGGACTTCAGGAACTGCAAGCTCAATGACCTGAAGGTGCGTCGGAGGCGTCATCCGCTGGCGGCCGGGAATCAGTAATGCGGCGGCCAGATTAGCGACTGGGGAGGCCTCCGCACCTCTCCGCTCTCGTCTGCTTTCCTGCCACACACGTTGTCCTAAAGCTTTAAAGCTTTGACTTAGCGCGAAGCCTGCTCGCCCCGCCTCGTCCCCACCTAAAACCCTTTGTTGTACGCAAGTCCCGCCATCTTCACCTCGTGGATGGTTGTTGGAGGCAGGAACAGGGCTGGTGGCCTGTTGACGCCTCGTTGTTTTGAGCCACATCTCTTTAACCTGCCACCCAAAGCGTGTCCGCGTAGTTTGTTATCCGCGCTCTTCTCCAGCGCCCTGTTCCCTCTTGGTCTGACACGCACCGTGCTGTTCGCCGCCCTGTTCTGACTGGTTCCGTCCCGGTCCGCCGTGCTTCCCCAGCCAGCCCTCGCCGCCCTGTTCTGACTGGTTCCGTCGCAGTCCGCCGCGCTGTCCCAGCCAACCCTGTCCTGACTAGCGCCGCTGGCCGTCGGCAGGCTCTGAAGAAGAAACACGAGGCGTTCGAGTCGGACCTGGCCGCGCACCAGGAGCGCGTGGAGCAGATCGCCGCCATCGCGCAGGAGCTCAACTCTCTCGACTACCACGACGCGGCCACCATCAACGCCCGCTGCCAGCGCATCTGCGACCAGTGGGACCGGCTCGGCACGTTCACCACCCAGCGGCGCACGCAGCTGGACGAGACGGAGCGGCTGCTGGAGAAGCTGGACCAGCTGCACCTGGAGTTCGCCAAGCGCGCGGCGGTCAGTGCACGCGCCGGCGACCGCTGCCCGATCGCTGGGGATGGAGTGGAGGGACGCGGCGGTGGGCAGGCGGGGCTGCTGTGTGACTGGCGGGTGGCGAGAGGGTGGCACGTCAGCGACGGGGCGGCGGTGATCGGTCGGGATCGAGACGCTTGGTGGGCAATGCGCGTTTCGGAGTGGTGCAGATCATCTGGTGCTGCCGTGTGAATGCTGCGCACTTGCTGGATCCACTCGGGGGCCGGGACTAGGTGGTGTTTTCCTACAGTTCTGTGCGTCGTTCGGTGCAGATCCCGGCATGGCACTCATTGACATTCCCAGAGACTATCGTAAGCTATGCATTTGACTGTCAGTCAGCCGCATGAGCGCTGTGAAACGTTTCGTCTGTGTAGTGGACCAACATATTGTGGGTGTGCTGACGTCCCATTTACATTTCAGTGAACGGGATGACTTCCCCAAAGGCGGATCGCTTAGCGCTTCGATAAATGAGATCTTGGACCACCTTACGTTGCGCGCGTCCTATCTGCTCACCCCGCCTCGTTGCCATGGTGACGCGTTGCTCGTGTTACAGCCGTTCAACAACTGGCTGGACGGCGCTCGCGAGGACTTGGTCGACATGTTCATCGTGCACACCATGGAGGAGATCCAGGGGCTGATCGAGGCGCACGAGCAGTTCAAGGCCACGCTGGGTGAAGCCGACAAGGAGTACAACTCGGTGGTCAACCTGGTGAAGGAGGTGGAGACGCTGGCGCGTCAGTACCAGATCCCTGGCGGCCTGGAGAATCCCTACACGTCGCTCACCGCGAACGTGAGTCGGCCGCCCGCTACCGGCGGCTTTTGGTGGAAGGCGCTCTTTTTGAGGATTGTTTTGCTGGCCTGCCCTCAAGGTCGGTGGTGGTCCGGTCGGTGGTGTCATTCGGTCAGCTGAGCCCAATGTTAACTACTCCGCCCGCTCTAGGTCTCAATGAGTGGCTGGCGGTGCCGCATAGGCCATGCCTGATCTGTGCAAAACTATCTTTGCTGTCGGCGCTTTTAAATCACAACCATCGACGGAGATGCCTCTCCCCTCCTCCTCCCCCCCCCCCCCCCCTGGACGACCGTGTGCACCGCGGACGGAGTTCGCGACAGTCTGATGCTGGTCGTGCTCAGACACGTCGAGCAGATCTGCGCCTTCCCGTGATCTTGCGCGGTGCGCGCGTGCGCGCGTCGCGCTCTGCGCCGCGCGTCCTCGGGAGCTCACGGAGCGCCGCGTCGCCAGGTGCTGACGCAGAAGTGGTCGGACGTGCGCCAGAGCCTGGTGCCGCAGCGCGACCAGACGCTGCAGAACGAGATGCGCCGCCAGCAGAACAACGAGGCGCTGCGTCGTCAGTTCGCCGAGAAGGCCAACCAGGTGGGGCCGTGGATCGAGCAGCAGATGGCCTCGGTCGCCGCCATCGGCATGGGCGGCCACGGCGCGCTCGAGGATCAGCTGATCAAGCTGAAGAACTACGAGCAGGCCGTGTACGCGTACAAGCCGCAGATCGACGAGCTGGAGCGGATCCACCAGTCGATCCAGGAGAGCATGATCTTCGAGAACCGCTACACCCAGTACACGATGGAGGCGCTGCGCATCGGCTGGGAGCACCTGCTCACGTCCATCAACAGGTGCGTCGCGCTGGGGTCCGGGTCGGGCCGGGGGAGGCTGGGAGCACCTGCTCACGTCCATGTGTGACGATGGGGTCTGGGTTGGGCCGGGACAGGCTGGGTAACACCTGCTCACGTCCATGCGTGACGCTGGGGCTGGGTCGGGCCTGGACAGGCTGGGAGCACCTGCTCACGTCCATGCGTGGTGCTGGGGTCCGGGTCGGGCTGGGACAGGCTGGGAGCACCTGCTCACGTCCATGCGTGACGCTGGGGCTGGGTCGGGCCGGGACAGGCTGGGAGCACCTGCTCACGTCCATGCGTGGTGCTGGGGTCCGGGTCGGGCTGGGACAGGCTGGGAGCACCTGCTCACGCCCGTCAGCAGGTGCGTAACGCTGGGTTCAGGGTCGGGCCGGACAGGCTGGAGTGCGGTCCTCAGGGGTCGCCGCGCAGGCGCCAGCGGTGTGTCGCCACTTTGGATGACGTAACGCGTTTATGAGTGAATTTTAAGGAACCTGTGCTGAATCTGCAACCGGTAGATGAACGGGGTTATCTGCTTATAAAAAACCATAACTTCATGTGAGTGCGAAAAGATCGTAGCTGATGGCGTGCTGAAACCTCCAGCGCATTAGCAGATCACGGCCGTGGCTTATGGCGGCCGGGTCGGAGGTCACCCCCGCGTCAGCTGTGCGGCCACAGCTCTGCCCAGCCGACGTCCCGTTGACCGCCGCCGGTCTCGTCCCCAGGAACATCAACGAAGTGGAGAACCAGATCCTGACGCGCGACAGCAAGGGCATCAGCCAGGACCAGCTGAACGAGTTCCGCGCCTCCTTCAACCACTTCGACAAGACGCGCACCGGCCGCCTTAACTGGGACGAGTTCAAGAGCTGCCTGATCTCGGTGGGCTACAGCCTGGGCAAGGACCGGCAGGGTGAGCTGGACTTCCAGCGCATCCTGGCCGTGGTGGACCCGAACGCCACGCACCAGGTGCCGTTCGACGCCTTCCTGGACTTCATGACGCGCGAGTCGACCGACATGGACACGGCCGAGCAGGTGAGCGGGCCGCCAAACGGCGCAGGAGGGACGGGGTGCCGCGGGGTGGCGGTTGAGCGGGCCGCCAGACGGCACAGGAGGGACGGGGTGCCGCAGGGTGGCGGGTGAGCGGGCCGCCAGACGGCACGGGAGGGACGGGGTGCCGCGGGGTGGCGGGTGAACGGGCCGCCAGACGGCGCAGGACAGACGGGGTGCCGCAGGGTGGCGGGTGAGCGGGCCGCCAGACGGCACAGGAGGGACGGGGTGCCGCGGGGTGGCGGGTGAGCGAGCCGCCAGACGGCACAGGACAGACGGGGTGCCGCAGGGTGGCGGGTGAGCGGGCCGCCAGACGGCACAGGAGGGACGGGGTGCCGCGGGGTGGCGGGTGAGTGAGCCGCCAGACGGCGCAGGACAGACGGGGTGCCGTGGGGTGGCGGGTGGACGGGCCGCCAGATGGCACAGGAGGGACGGGGGTGCCGTGGGCTGGCATGGGGGGGGGGGGGGGGGGTGGACGCTCTAAATTTACGGGTGGATATTGTGTTGGGAACGGAGAATGCTGTTCTCTGAAATTACCTTGGGCAAGAGTGGGTTCGCGTTGATGCATATGGTGGTGGTGGTTTGTGTTTATCACACCATCTGCGCTATGATATGTGGGGGGGGGGGGGGATTGTCCACATCGGTGTTCGGTCTGAGGCGCTAGTCGCAGTGCAGCGATGGTGCTTTGGAGATGGCCTGCCGGTCAGACTGTTGGCGCAGATTCGGGACTGTGACCCGATGGATCCGCCGTGTCAACGGACTGTGATCCGATGACTCCACCGTGTCAGCGGACTGTGACCCGATGGCTCCGCTGTGTCAGCGGACTGTGATCCAATGGCTCCGCGGTGTCAACGGACTGTGACTGGATGGCTCCGCCGTGTCAACGGGCTGTGATCCGATGACTCCACCGTGCCGCGTGCTGCGCTGACCCAGGGCGTCCGCGTGCCTCCTCTAGGTGATCGATTCGTTCCGAATCCTGGCCGCCGACAAGCCGTACATCCTGCCGGAGGAGCTACGTCGCGAGCTGCCGCCCGACCAGGCCGAGTACTGCATCCAGCGGATGGCGCCGTTCACCGGCCCCAACGCGGCGCCGGGCGCGCTCGACTACCTGTCCTTCTCCACTGCGCTGTACGGCGAGTCGGACCTGTAGGTGGTGCCGCAGCCGCCGGCCCGCGGCGGAGCTGTCTGCTCGGGCGCCCACCAGCCCGCTGGTCTGGGGTGTGGGTCGTGAGGCCTCGCGCCGGCTCGCCGGAAGCCCGAGCCCAAACCCAGCCCCGCCCCCGCCCCTGCCCCTGCCCGTCCCCCTCCCCCTCCCCGCCCCGCCCCGCCCCGCGCCAGCGTCCCCGCCCCCGCCTCCGCCTCCGCCTCCGCCTCCGCCTCCGCCTGTGCCCGCGCCGCTCCGCCCCGGGCGAGCCCCGCCCCGCGCCGAGGACGCCGGCCCGGCCGGCGCGGACCCTGGCCGAGAGCTGGACTGTGTGTGACGAACGTTGTTTGCTCGGCCAGACGCGAGCTAACGAGCAGCTGTGTCTTGCCTTAGTTCATCGTATCAATACGTCTAGTCTTTGTTGATTGATCAATGTGTACATTGGATGTTTTGTAAATAACTCGAGATAATCTTGGGCGGCGGCGGCGGCGGTGGCGGTGGTGGCCGGGGCGGCGCGCCGTCGGTCGGCGAGGGGTGCGCCGGGCCGCCCAGTTCCCGCAGCGGGAGGGGTCCCCGGCGTCGCTCAGTCCCAGACCGGTGGCCCGGGACCGGAGCCCGCCGTCTGCCGCCCGCCGCCCGCCGCCCACCGCCGGCGCCGGCGCCGACGTCGGCGCCGCCCCTCCACCCGGCTTTCTCTGCCTCCTGTACTGAGCAGTCGCACCCGGCCAGTGGACGGACACCGCCGCGGCCCGGTAGGCGGCGCCACGTGTGCGGCGATCTGCGCAGATGGCGCTGCGCTCCGCCGCGACTGGCGATACGGTAAAATGCAGGCTTCCTCGCCCAGATGCGCGGGCGTTCTTCTTCGAGTGTGTGTCGCAGAGCGCATGAAGAGAGAGGGAGAGCGAGTGAGCGCGTTGGACGAAAGCGCCTTCGGACGGCCAATAAATTTTTATCTAAGTCTAAGCGAGAAAGTGTTACGGAGAGAGACCCTCGCGCGTCGATGCGCCACCGGCGCGCCCGACACCGGCGCGGCCCCCGCCGTGGACCGCGCATGCGCGGGGGATGCTGAGCGAGCGCCTGTTGTCCGGACCTGTAAATACACGCGCTGCTGGAGTATGACGACTCTACTGGGGCGGGCGCGGCGCCCGGGCGGCTGCGGGGGTGGCCCGGATGACGTCAGAGGCCGGAGCACCGAAGGCATGTTTGTGCTGCGTTGGCCTTGGGTGTGATGCGTTGGAGTGGCCGGTTGAAGTCCGGATGAAGTGGGAAGGAGTGGCCTCGGTGCACTAGATAAATCAGCTGCGCCTTTGAGATGGCGACACGGGCGCCATATGGCCGGGGCATTCAGCACGCCCTGAAGCCTGAATCATCATCGAAATGGTGGCACAGGCAGCCGTATGGAACGGTTTGCCGCGGTAGATGAACGAAATGGCAAGAAAAAGACACCTTCAGTTTTGGGAGTGGGTTGTTACAGCAACGCCCAGCTCGGACCGTATTTAAATATGTGTATTTCGCGAGGTTTGCGTACATCGTCCAATGTGGAAAACAAAGTGCGAAATTCAATATATCACATGACATCACGGATTTTACACAAGCATAGCAGAGCGACGTCACGGGCCCGGCCGGCCGCGGACGACAGCGTCTCTAGCGTGACCTCGCGCAGGCACAAGGCCCCGCCGAGGAGCCGCCGCCAGCTGGCCCCTCCCTCGGCCCGACGAGCCGCCGGCTGCGCCGGCCACGCCGCTACTCGAGCGGCGCGTGGGGTCACAACACCGTACACATGGACAGAGTGCGGGCACGACACACGGCGGGCACCGCGGTACCACCCGCTGGCCGCAGTCACCGACGCGGCAGAACGCCCTCCGCTCGCAGCTGGCGCGGGGCTCCAGTCGCCGAAGCGGCAGAACCTCCTCCGCTCGCAGCCGGCGCGAGGCTCCGGTCGCCGAAGCGGCAGAACCTCCTCCGCTCGCAGCCGGCGCGGGGCTCCAGTCGCCGAAGCGGCAGAACCTCCTCCGCTCGCAGCTGGAGCGGGGCACCAGTCACCGAAGCAGCAGAACTCTCTCCGCTCGCAGCCGGCGCGGGGCTCCAGTCGCCGAAGCGGCGGTACGCCCTCCGCTCGCGGCCGACGCGGGGCTCCAGTCGCCGAAGCGGCAGAACGCCCTCCGCTCGCAGCCGGCGCGGGGCTCCAGGGGGCTCTGCTCAGGACTGGCGGGGACGGCCGCAGCGCCGCGACGCACCGGGCCCTGCCGGCGCCGGACCGGGCTGCCACGGCGTCCTAGACCCTGCTGCCGCTCCTGTTGGCCGCGCTCGGCAGCGCCGTCTGGCGGCGGCCGCAGGAGAGCAGCTGACGATACGCCTTACGGTACTCGGAGCTCATCGCTACGTAAATGATGGGGTTGGTGCACGTGGTAAGGTAGATGAGCACGTAGCCCAGTACGTTGATGACCGGGGCGTCCAGCTCCTTGCCCAGGACCTTGACGATGGTGATGGGCAGGTAGCAGAGCACGAAGGATAGGAAGATGACCAGGATCATCTTGAGCAGGCGCTTGTCCTTAGCCGACATGCTGCCGGCGGCGCGCGGCGAGCCGCGATCGCGAAGTGTCGAGGCTAGCGTCACGATCAGCTGACTGCCGTGACTCGGTTTGCGCTCGCCGGCCGGCTCCGGCACCTCCAGATGACTGGCCTTGACCTCTGACACGGTGAGGCTGGTTTCTGCTGCGGCGGGGCTGGCCGGCGGGGGGCGCGTGCCGCCCCTTGGCCCCTGGCGGGCTAAGCGCTCCGTTCGGCGCACGATCAGGAAAATGCGCGCGTAGCATACGCAGAACGCGACAGCGGGCAGGAGGAACGCAATGACGAACAGAAAGTCCTTCGGAGATGAGCCATCGGCGTTGGGCAGGATCGTGCAGCTGCCGATCTTCAAATCCAGCCCAAAGTGCCCCCACCTTCCGGACATGGTTGGAACTAGGAACATGAACGCGCTCAGCCAGATGGCAGTGATCATCAGCGCTAGTATCTTGGGCTGGTACATCCTGGAAGCACGGTTATGGGTGAGGACATGTGAACTTCCTGGAGCATGTAGCGGCACCAGCTCGACCCACTCACGCTATCTGAGAGCCATTTATTGAACAAAGCGGCGTGCCATTTTGCTTTAGCTGGGTCACATGACTGCCTTGTTTTCGTGTGGATTGCTCAATGTGCACACCAGATGTGCGAACTGCTGTCCGGCTCCCTGATGTGCCATGCTGTCCCTGATGTGCCATGCTGTATGGCGGGACAAAAGAGATGTGGCCCCGGAACAATCTTGATAGAGAACGAGCAGCCTTGGCGATGTGTACCTGTGACGACCATGTGAACGAAAAGGGGCGGTCGTACCTGTTATAAACATCCGGATGGCCGATGATGACGTAGCGATTGATTGTGATGGCCAAGATTGTGAAGAGCGACACGGCGATGAGACCGTAGCGAAGGACGGGAAACAGAACGCAGAGAGCCTGGCCGTGAACCTGGAACGGGCGGAACACGCATCATCTTCTGGCGACCAAACGCTGTAGTCCCACGCTGTACGTCAGATAGCACAGTGAAGGCAACACATTTTAACGCATCGGTCTCCGTCCGTCGCGCGTGGGGAAACAATACATTTGCTGGTGGGATTTATCACGCATTGTTTACTTTGGGGCCGTGCGGTCGAAAAGTTCTCTCAGGTAAGCAAATGCCTATCGTAGTACGTTGATTCTCCACCACCGACGCGCGGATACGTCTAATCTCAGTGCCACAGCCTCCGTGAAAATCACAGTTAACTGCTCAATTTACCGCCTACGCTGACCCACGCGAACTTGCAATAAGTCAGAAGTTATGGGCTCATTTGTATCAATTTCTGGCCGGTGTCAGCAAGGCCGACGGTCCAATACCAGCCAGCGAGGCGCACGGCGCACCGGAGTCTCGCGAGGTAAGAAACAGCGCCGCTTCGGAGTTTGAGCGGCGGAGTTTTGTCGGCTAGCCTTCTCAGATGACTGACGCCGGACAGCCGGCCCATGACGGCCGTGGCTCGGAGTCCGCCCCCGGGCCGCGGACGGCCTGAAGCCGGACAGCCGTGAGTGACGGCCGTGGCTCGGAGTCTGCCCCCGGGCCGCGGACGGCCTGAAGCCGGACAGCCGGCCCATGACGGCCGTGGCTCGGAGTCTGCCCCCGGGCCGCGGACGGCCTGAAGCCGGACAGCTGGCTCGCGGCGGCCGTGGCTCGGAGTCCGCCGCCGGGCCGCGGACGGCCTGAAGCCGGGCGGTCGGCCTACGGCGGCCGTGGCTCGGAGTCCGCCCCGGGTCGCGGACGGCCTGAAGCCGGACAGTCGGCCCGCGGCGGCCGTGGCTCGGAGTCCGCCCCCGGGCCGCGGACGGCCTGCGCTCACCCAGGCCTGATGGATGAAGAGCGAGGCGGCCAGTGGCAGGTTGAAACAGCACAGCAACAGGTCCGTCACGCTTAGGTTTATGATGAAGATGGCCGTGGCGTTGTGTCCCTGCCGGTGAAGAGACTCACATCAGTTCTTTGCGTGTGTCAGGAACGTCGCGATCAAACACGATGCAGCCACTCGCCTTACATTGGGACGTAGGATTGTTGAAAAAATATGCAAGACGTAAGCTTTAAATGGCACCCAAGCTCACGCCGATCCTTAGCGGACAGCAGAGACTTTACTTGAACACCGGACGAAAATGTTGGTGTACAGGGGGACCGGACACCACTTCCGTTTGGCCGAGCTAATTAGGTTAGAGCTTCAGAACGAAAGCCGGTGGTAAGTCTGGAGCACAACACGGTTCAACAATATCCAATCTGATTCCTTCAGCTCATCGCTAACCTCAAGTCAGTGTTTTCAATGATGTATTTCAAACAAATCGTTACCCATGTGTCTTACGTGGGGAAAGGACCTGTACTGCGGTGCACAAACAATGCGTTTTTGGTGGAATATGCGTAGAGTGGTAGCCAGAATCAGACTCGGCGTATCAAGGTGTCGTAAGCCAACAGACGTAAGGAGAAAAAGGACGCTATGAGTCATCGGTGCGTACGAAAGTGGACATCGAAAAGGTCACTGACTTGAAAACGACACTGTCACTTGAGGACCGTTAAGACTCCGCTCAGAAATCAAACGTCATGAAACCGAAGCAAAATATCTTTTGCATAAAAATGGTTCCGCAACCTTCGGAAATGTTCGAGATATGACGGTCCAGTTCAGAAACCGGACGACTGACATGAAATGGGACAAAAGTCTTGCAAAACAGATGCTCCGTAAATGTGCCAATGAATTTCACAACCTTGACATTCCCCGTTTAGTTTCATGATTTTTTCAACCTTGCTAGGGAGTTCATCTTTCCCCGCTCATTAACGAGGATAACAAAAGGTTTCCAACACATCATTTCCACGACGAAAAAACAAAACACCGGATACAATGGCGAAAAGCAGCTTTCTTGCCCCAACGAACGCAGCATTGCTAAAATATACGTTAACAGCGAAGGCTTCGGCTAGCATGCCGTGACTTGGTATATATTCCGCTATGGCATATATATATATATATATATATATATATATATATATATATATATATCAGGCGGCAACGACGACAAGCAGGGGCATTACGAGCCTTCAGCACGGGTAATGTTTAAGTCAAAACATCGTAGAGATACTGCGGTGTAAAGTGTTACCAGGTGGCAAAGCGGAGGTCCATATGTAAATCAGGAGATGCTGTAATTCAACCTGTCGATCATCAAAATAAGCTTTTAAGCATTCATCGATGGTTTATTAAGCCGCACACTCCAGCCCGACACCGCGGTGCATTCACTAATTATCAGGCCGCATCGCGGCTTTAGAAATTGCTCTCGTTCAGAGGCGAATCACGGATGCACACTTGCAAACATGAATGGACGCAATACCGCCTATCACAAACATTTACATGGAAAAACCATGAACTATAGTGACTGAGTTACACATCACGAGCACAAGGCTAAGCAAGTTTCGTCGATTCGGTTTCCTTTTGTAAGCTGTGTGTGAACAAAACTGGATCGATGACACTGCTGTTCCGTGGAAACCATCTTACACAGTACTATTTAGAAGCGCACAGGTTCGTGGTTTCGGCGCATGAACCAGTCTCGGCCACCTTGCGCGGTGCTGTTGTTGGAAGCACACATAAGTTAGCTCAATCTGCCTCCTTGAGGTTGAGCACACTACGATGCAGATTGCGGAGGATGAGAACCCGAAGGTGCTTTGCATTAGCCTGCTCAGAGGGGAGCGGGCAGCCGCCTCAGCTGCCACAGTGGAAATTCATGCAGGCACGTTAAGGTTGAAGTTCAGGTGCTGATGCCGGAACGTAGCGATTGAGGGAGGCAGTGAGGCGGGTCTGAGGGATGTGTCATAGTCTGCTGTCGCAGCGTCCATTCCACGCTACGGTCGCAGTCTGCTGACCGGCTCCCCGTGAAAGGTAGCACAAGGCTAGTTCTTCACAAAACACAAACAAACAAACAACCAAACGCAAAGAGCACAACGATTAGCCTGAACCATGTGTGCATATACATATCTCGTCATAGTCTAACACAAAGCGAGTCAATGCGTTCAAAGATAAAGCGAGTCAATGCATTCAAACATCATCATAGTGGTACTAGTCCACCGCGCATACCCCACGTAGACTCCTAAACTTCCCTGTTGATCTGCATCACCCTGATGCCGAGCAAACCAACTGTCAACAGCACGGCCCTCTGACGTCACTATTGCCAATTAATGACGTCAGTGGGCCAACATGTAGTTAATGACACCACTGTTCGGATGGCATCGATCGATGGTGATAATGGTCTTGTGGTCAATCAGCACTGTCAATAATCATGTGGTCAATAAGCGTTCACACAATGACGTTTAATCAGCCGAGAACAGGGACATCGTCGCTTCACTGTATCGATCGGATTACGTGCATTCGACATACACTGCTTCTTCGGCCACTGTTGCCGGCTGCGGCGGCAGTCAATACTGAACGCATGTAATAAATTGGTCACTGAATAACGACTTGAATACTGAATGTACGTGGCAGTGAATGCTTACTTCTTCCTCCGTATGATACTTCCGTTTTAGACTCGATTCTTCTTTGGTGACATGCTTTGGCTTTGGTGGGTCATTCGGATCACATTCGCGTCAGTTCAGGTGTAATCTCTGTATTCATTATCAATACAGCTCTGGTGTGCATGACCACATTGGGAACGGTGTGGAGCGTCCGTGATTACACACTCACTGCAATTTGATAACGATGGCACACGTACCTTGTGAGCGTCGCTTTGTGTTACATACATACGGCATTGCTATGGAATAACATGCGGAGAGTGTTCATGCATATGCACGTCTTTGCATTTGTCCCGTGTCCCAACGATCGCTAAACGTGGCGTGAAATACTGAAGACATGTTCAAATGTACTCTAGTATATTTATCAACATTTAATCATTATTGACATGTCATGGAGAGGGTAAGGAACATGTCCATCAGCGTACATATCATGTAATCATTTTATCTATATACTGTTTCCTCGCGGTGCGTCTGCCTGTCTGTCTATCTGCCCCGTTTTGCGCAGTGCCACTCACGTGCCGAACGGCGGATCGCTGAACAGCGAGATTTGAAGCCGACGAGCTGCCGCTCGAAGCTGTGGCAAACATCTCGGCAACCAGGGATGGGAGCGACTAGAAACTGACAAGCTTGGGCAGATAATTAGACGGAGAATCGCGTGGTGCCAAACGTTCGCTCGCACGTGTCACGCGTCACGTGCCTGAAAGTGGCAAGATGCATTTGGCCGATTTTACGTTTTTCACGTTTTGTGCTGCATCTCGGCAGCCAGAATACGTGGAGGCGCTTACCCAATTTGAAAGCGTCGACCAACCGCAACCAACTGTTAAGTTGTTTCTAATTCGTGTGGCCAACACGAGTTGTGCGACGCACGGTTGCGCTAGTAATCGTTGGGCGAGCGGAGAACATCGGCATTTTGAGAAGAAGAAAAACGCCGAGTACATCACGCCGTCGTCAAAATTTCACATTTTTGCGCCGTCAAAATGCCATCGGTCGATCGCTTAGTCACTGGCGGCGAGTATTTCCAGCAAAACGACGAGTTCCGCACGCGCCTTATGTTGTCCGTGTGCGGCCGCCGCCATTGATTCGTTGCGACGAAAAAGGTGAGCCATAGGGACAATCAAACGCATTGCTTGAATCCCTCACGCTAGGAAATGTCAAAAGCCCAAACGCATTGGACGAAGAATAACTTGCAAAAGAAGCAGTGCAAGGGCTCATAAAATGCAACTTTTGTAAAACGGAGCTCGCTGACACAGCACAACAGCCCATCCAGTGCTTCGCGGTCGGGGTTTCGGAATCACTGCATAGACACATTGCGACACCGGTGAACAAGTGGCAGCGGCGAAGTTAGGGAGGTCTGACGTTTGCAGTGGTAGCGATACAGTGTCCTTCAAGCTTTTGAAATATATAACGACATTTAAACCGCGACGAAAATCTCGAGAGCAATTTTTGCAGGGGGGTTATTGCTGAATTTGTCTTGGCAAACATATTGTCGGCGAATCGATACTGCCGGGTCATTTATTACGCTCTTTTGCTGTGCCTTATCGGCTTCGACGCACAGCTTAATGGACGACATCGGTAAGCACGATAGCAGCGTTGATCTCTGATTCTAATTAACGCCGCCGTCGTGGGTGCACAGCAGCTTCCTGAAAACAGATCAAATGGAGTCCTTCGAGGATTTGCGACAACCACCATCGTCACGTACACACAGATAAAGAGGGAGAGGAAAGGGCGAGAGGGGCGAGCCGTTACCCACCGATTTCTATACGGTTGTAAATAAATCATACCATGATAAACTGCACGAAAAACTGGCTTATGGCTGAGGTCTGTTTTCCAAACCCCACATACGTCCCTGGCAGTCAGCTCACTACACCCAGCGCCCGTAAGGTATTCCATCAGGCAAAGGTCGGATCCGCAAAGAAATCCTATGAGCGATGATGAACGCAACCCGAAATAATGTCAAAGACAAATCGTCCATAGAACGCCACAGGTCTCTCCAAGCCTTTCAGAGTCAGCCCGTCGCTTCGCGAAGCAAGCCCGCCAGCTCTTGCACTTAAGAATTTGTTTATTGGCTAGCCGAGCGTAAAAGTCTGCGATAATGAACCTTACAGGAATCGTCGGCACACCGAGGAAACCAGTTAACAAACCATCTCGGTTTAGCCACATGTGAGGCCAGCGAGTTTGCCATCATCGATGATCATACCGACTCAAACTGGTACATGACGCAGATGACAGGCGTGAAGACGACGCACAGGAAACCGCCAGTACGCAAGCCAGCCAGCCCATACCGGTCATCATGACCTCGTCAAGTTACCTTCGACTTGAAACAAAGGCGGCATTCGTCTTGGACACCGACACGGCCAGCGGGCCGCATCCTCCGGCTTGCGCTGTGGCCGTTATGTGCCAAAATGGCGCAGAAACGGCCGCGCG